AGGGTGATCCAGTGTATGTGAACAGTGAGATGTTTGGGCGCTGAAGTCGCCATAGCCAATTGAGAGTGAACTCGTATCTGAAAGCCATATCTCTGAGTTTTGAGTGGGCGCATGTCGCCAGTATACTGTGTTGCTGTTTACATGCATGAAAAGTGTGTTTGAGAACGAGTATGATTGCACGTCGGAGTTTCATATATATATTGCCACAGCCCCCTCGTTTGTTGTCCTCTTCTCCCTCTCTGCCTACGGTTTACTGGGCAGCTCTGTTTGACTATATATATATATAAAGCGCAAACTACCCCTCCCTCAGACTTCCTGCGCTCTTCTGCCGAGGACACTGCTGAGGTCAGCGGAATCATAATTCGCAAGTCGCGGGTTCGAGTCCCTCTTCCGCCACTCGTTGTCTATCTATCTACTACGGTACTCTTTCCTCAAGCTTGTAAACGCGGTACTTCTCGTCCAACTTTTTTTCCCCAAAGTCCGTCCGAGCTCTTTTCCCCAAAGTCTTTCCGAGGCTTTTTTCCCAGAAGTCTTTCAAGAGGCTGAAGATGTAACGAAACTTTGGAAAAAACGTTCCAAAAAAACAACAAACTCTTTGCATGGGGCGAAAAAGATAGCGAAAACAGTCAAAAGACAGCTTCCAGATTTGCAGCGCACCTGGTGAAACAAATGCCACACACACACACACACACACACACACACACACACACACAGAGGTTCTGAAGGACAGCATTGGTGGAAATCATTTGAGGCGGCAGAGGAGCTATTTAGACTGTTCTTCCTCTTCTTCTTTTTTTCTGGTTCTGTGCTTTTTTGTTTAGCTATTTCGACTGTTCTTCCTGTCCAATGTGGTAGCAAAAGGCCTTTATTCAGTGAGCAACTGACTTGCAAAAGTTGCAGCACAATAGTTGGTAGGATTGGAGGTAGGATTGGAGGTAGGATTGGAGGTACGATTGGAGATCGGTCTACTAGTAAGGGGCTGGACTCGTCGGTGATTGCTTTGGGGCTTTGGGGCTTTGGGGCTTTGGGTTAACATCTACTTCTTGTTGCTGAATTTATTCCCTCGGTGTTTGATATTCAATTAAATGACATCAGCTCCTTGAGAGATGTTGAATCTTCATTGAGAGTGAAGTGCCGCTACGTACTGGCTTGAGTTGAAGAGAGTAACTTATGACAAATGATGGTCGAAGGGTCTTTGGAATCCTCTCACAAGTCACAAGCCTCATTAGGGAGAGAAATGCAAACGCAGCAAACTCAGCCAATGCCTCGTTGCTAAATTGCTACTACCCCTCCCCTCCCCTCCCCCACCCCCCTCCTCACCTTCACAAATGACCCCAGTTGTTCCCACAACGGCACCTATACATAGTCGAGGCGCGCTCGCAAGAACGTAAGTGTTTGTCTTTTGTATAGTCTGCATGTACAAGCCGGTTCTCGTTGGATGGACTGAATACGTGTGTCTGTTACGAGTGATGCAGCCCCCCTCACCAGTGGCGAATACGGCCGGGTTCAGGTGGCCTTCTCTTTACCTGTTCTCTCTCTCTCTCTCTCTCTCTCTCTCTCTCTCTCTCTCTCTCTCTCTCTCTCTCTCTCTCTCTCTCTCTCTCTCTCTCTGAACGCTTCGCTTGACGGTGAAGAGCAACCAGACCTCCCTCACCAGTGGTGACTGCGGTCTTCACCCGAATGCAACATACGGTCATTATGTCATTATTGCTGAACCTCACTCTCTCTCTCTCTCTCTCTCTCTCTCTCTCTCTCTCTCTCTCTCTCTCTCTCTCTCTCTCTCTCTCTCTCTCTCTCTCTCTCTGTGTCTTCTCTGAACGTTTTGCTTGCCAGTGAAGAGCAACCGCACAGGCGTCTCCCAGAATAGATGGGGCAATGGGCATGTGTTTTTTTTTTAACGTCTTTTGTGTGTCAAAAAAAAAAAAAAAAAACAGCAAAAAAGATCGCTTTGCAGTAAGCGTCCAGAAAGAAGCCAGAAAGAAGACACGAGTACGGTCAAAAGGGGGGCCCTCATTGTAGCACTCACGCTTTGCCCAGATCCTACTCCTAAGAGAAGAATGGGACACGTTGTGCAACAACGACCGAAACAAGCATGGCCCCCATAGATTCCACTCCATTCTCCCCTTCCCCCGATAACAAAAAGATACACCACCTTCGTTTTGCGCGTATGCAGTTCGTTGGCAACAACTGCATGCACGTGATACTTCTGCAGAGCCGCTCGCGCCTTCGTTAACAATATATCTGTATCTGTCTCAAGCTTGTACAAAAGAGGACCACCAAACACAAGCATCAGCATCGGTGAGGAGAGTGAAGGAGGATGAGAAACAAACGAACAAGGATAGCGACATTGCGACATCATAAAGACTATTCAAAGAATGTACTACTCTTTCGGAGTCTTTCCAGACTAAATCAGGGAAAACTCACTCCACATCCCAAGCTCTCTCTCTCTCTCTCTCTCTCTCTCTCTCTCTCTCTCTCTCTCTCTCTCTCTCTCTCTCTCTCTCTCTCTCTCTCTCTTACATGCGCAAAATCCAGAAATAGTTACGAGTTATCCAACTAGATCTTTTATTATTAAATTTAATAAATTCTGTTACACAACTTACACTTTATAATAATTTTTAATTTTTTAGTCATTGTCACATAGAAACAACGCGAAATATTACAGACTGACCAACGGACCTAGCTCAGCTGGTACTCCCACCAACTGTTGAAATACAGACCCAACGGGCCAATTCAAAAAAAAAAAAAAAGTTAGAAAAGAACATTCTGAATTACCTGGGGGCCATCAGTTACATTGATGATATCTCAGGGTCGTCGCCTTATATACACGTGAACATCGTCTATGGAATAGTGCCATCAGCTATACATAGTACATACACACATAGACATTATGACTCCCACATCGTCTTCAGTAATCCCCATTGCCTACCTATCCCCCCCTTACACACACGCTCACTGGAATATGAATTCGAACAATTCACACGATGCCTATCCAAACTGTTGAGGAATGTGGTGAAGTAGATTTGGCATGTGCTCGCAACGACATGCCACTTTACAGGACGACGAATGCGAACAATCAGGTGCTCACAATCACTGGAATATGAATGTGAACAATCAGGTGCAAACAATCGCAGAGGAACAACACACACTGTCACCACGGACGCAGAAAATCCCACGGCATGCAACTTAGAAGATCCCAACCTAAAAAAAAAAAAAAAAAAAAAAAAAAAAAAAAAAAAAAAAAAAAAAAAAGATCCCAACCTCGATCGGTTGGTTGTATCAACTTGTACGACAAAATTCAATGCTTCATCGATTCTTGTTATATTGCATTTCAGAATGTTCAGTTTACATGTACGCCGCGGTGGTGACCGTCAACAACCCAACCCCATCACAAAAAGCACACCTTGAAGGAGACGATGAAGGCCGAAGGTGCCCATTCACATCTGAAGAGGGAGAGCATCTTGGGAACCTGAGCAAGCTGGAGCGAAAGTGGGCCGGCCCGCGACTGGATCTTGTGCTCGACCTGCATTACGCGCACCCATCACGCACCAGAAGCCATGACATCACACATGGCAGCCATGTTATTAGTGGAAAACGCCGGTGAACGACCAAACCCGCGGTCACAGCCAAAGCGTGTAATCGGGTAGACACGCCCTTCCTTCGAAGCTAACAGGGCCACACCTGAGAGCAACAAAGCCAGTGCCTTTGACGTTAGAATGGTACGTAAACACAGCCCGCTGAGCAGAAGCAGGACCATAAAATAAAATAATGGCCGGCTTTCTGTGAGGCAACTAGAACAAAAGTTACAACACCTCAAATGAGTGCCCGTGAGCTTTTTCCAGTCTGAGACTCTGAGAGGTGAACACAATGTGCAGGGCACTGCAAGCACACCCTCGCACGCCACACCACACCGCATACAAGTGAGACCCTAGCTATAACTTTTGGGGGGGGGCTGGAACTTTGGGGGGGCGGCTGGAACGGCAGGAACACGGACCATCGGGGGCACGGACCAGTGCGGTAGAACCCCAGTCCTCCAAACGAAAAGAAAAGGTTTTAGAGTCTGGAAGAAACTTTTTAGCCGTGCTGTGCATCCCCTCCCTTCCCCCTCCYCCCCCCCCCCCAACACACACACACACGAACTGTTTGTAACTTTGTGGGGCCCCAAAGAACTTTACAAGAGCGCACAACCAGCGTCTCGCCAGCGTCGTGCCAGCGTCAATGCCCGCGTCAATGCCAGCGTCCAGACAGAGTCAAGCCAGTGTCGAAGCAGCATAGCAAGACTGAATGTTGACCTCCTGGAGACCCAGCCTTCAGTAGTGTTTGACGAGGCTGTCGGGCCTCTGGTCTCCTTCCCACAGTCGTACAGATTGACTCGCAGCCGAGGGCCTGGATTGTGTACGGTTGCAGACTTCCCTTGGTCCTGATGCTGTCTTGGTACCTGCATACAAACAAGCGTGTGCGTCTGACCGACCGGCGGCCTGGGCTGGGTACACTTTGACTTTCACTGTTGGGGTCCGACAGTTGACTTTAGTCAACTGTCACTTGCCCAGGCCCTGAATCTCTATGTGGGGTTATTTTCCCCCTTCGGCCTGGGTCTGAGTGCGGCCTGGCAAGGCTCTCAGACTTTCCACGAGGCATACTGCATGGGTTATTGCACTACACTTTCCCCCTCCTCCCTTTTGATGTGTGGGTTCCCCCCGACCTCCCCTTCCACTTTTCCCCTCCTCCCCCTCTGCTGCCAGCTCCTCCCCACTTGCCCATCCACTTCTTCCCCTCCCCTCCCCCCTCTTGTTCTACAACCTCCCCAGACCTCCGCATCAACTTTCCCCATCCTCGCCCTGAATGCCCCCCACCTCCCCATGACTCCTCCGGGTCCTCCCCCTTGACGCACGATTCCCTCCCTATCTCCCCATTGACTTTCCCCCTCCTTCCCCCCTCAATTTGCAGCTGGCCCCCGACCTCCCAATCCACTTTCCCCCTCCTCCCGCTTGATATGTGCCTCTCCCGCCCCCAACAAAAAAAAAAGCACACGCATCAGGGCTGGGCCGGCAACCGACCGGTTCAGCTTGCCCGGTTGAACCGGAGCCGGACCAGCCCCTGGGGGGGGAACCGGGAAACCGGTTTTCAAAAAATAAAGCCTAATTCTCTTTTTTTTTTTGGGGGGGGGGGGGGGGGGGGGGGGGGGCGGATTCTGACTGCGCTCTTCAAGAGCTGTCGGTCGAAATCCGTAATTAAATTTTGAAGGTCCAAGTTTTTTGGGGGGGTGCCCCAGAGGGAGGTGGGGATATTATTGGGATATTCACGGAGGTGTCACTTTCAGGGGCAGGGGTCGAGTAAGCAAGGTTACTTATATCCGACCGCCCGTGGCCCAAGAACTTCAATTCAGTAGCAGAGGGCACTCTGGACTATGCCAACGGCCGTCAGAGTCCTGCAGCCTGAATGAGACGTAATAGAAGTGGATCCTTGCCAAAACTTATAGCTTTTCCAGAGTATAGCTCGACGGCCGAAAAGCTATGGGTGCAGGTTTCAGCTCGTGCAGGCAGAGCATTTTCTGTTTGTTTTTTTTGTTTTAAATACGCTGGGTCATCAGCGTCCTCAGTCCGAAAGTATCTCGCCTGCTAGTCTGTCCAGATACATGTAGTGGCGCCACGTGCATTCTGGATAGATTGACAGAAAAATATAGCTCAGGTCCATTCTTGGGCTTGCACCTCAGACAGAGCCGAGACCCAAACCCATAACTCTTTCCCCAGAGCTTAGTGATGTTGCCGAAGCATATAACCTCAGGAGAGCCACTGCTCTTGCATAGCAATTCCCTCGTGGCTGAGGATGGACGAGTATGTCATGCCAATTACAACCGGTCTGTGGTCTGTCGGACCACACTATGCCAAATCGAAATATGTGGGGCCTGGTGGCCCCTCAATTTTTGAGAAAACGCGCGCGGCGGTTGTTCGCCACTGATCTGCGAAGATAAGCAGCGGAGATCCTCCGCTCGTTGTTGTTTAGAAGTTGGGCCCAAAAAGCCCCAATTTTTTTTGGGGGGGAGGCCGTGTCCTCGTGGGGGCTGGGCAGTCGTGGGGATGCCTGTCACTGCCCGATACCCCCCATCCAGCCTAATGCGCTGGATTCGACCGGGGGTCTGCCGGGGCGGTCGACCGGCCGGTCCGACCAGCATGCTCCCGGGTGGGGGAGGGGTCCCCGGCCCCCGGTCCAGCCCGGGACGAGCCCTGGCATGCATCCATTTGAATTTTGAACCTGTTTCTATCCTTCTCTTCCCCGCAGGGCAAAAGGGACTACCCCATCATCATGGACAGCGTAATAGTAGATCAAATGAATCTCCTTTTGTCCTTTTCCCTCTCCTCTGCTTGTTTCTATCCTTATCTCTTCCCCGCAGGGCAAAAGGGACTACCCCATCATCATGGACAGCGTAATAGTAGATCAAATGAATCTCCTTTTGTCCTCTTCCCTCTCCTCTCCTTGTTTCCATCCCAGTGCCTGATTTTCTACTCAGGGCAATCTCCCCACCCACTTACAACCCTGCTCCCCCTCGTTCTGCCACCTCCCATAGACATCCACATGATTCCACAATGAATAAGACGTTATTCTTTCTGAGGCAGACACTCAATCCTTTCACCTGGAAAGCAATCAACGATGTGTACCGTCTTCCCCCAAATAGAACGTACGGTCACCGAAGCCGTATTTCGCTCACCTTTCAGTCCAGATGCAGCGAAAATGACCGGACGTTCTATTCGGGGGACGAAGGCGGGCCTTTTTACCTATTGTAAATGTGACTTACCAGTTCAAAAGGAACAGAGCTGATGCTCCCCAGAATAAAACGGATCCATGGCCATGGTCTATGAGGTCTTTTTTTCTCTTTTTGGAGACCGCCTGCAACAGCCATGAGGTGATGTTGTCGGGGAAAAATAAAAAGTCCAGAGCTCTCGAGATTGTCTGAGCAAGATGTGCAATACCCCGCCCGATATGCCCTGAAGTGGCCCTACGGCCACACCCAGGCCGCGGCCCCGGTCTGAGTCCCCAAAGGCCAAGGGGAGGAAAACCCCCCAAATTGGCCTCACAGGGCCTGTGCGCCCGACAGTTGACTTTGGTCAACTGCCCAGCGGCCCAAGAGTCAAAGCCTGCATGTACCCAACCCAGGCCGCCGGTCAGACGCACACGCTTGTTTGTATGCAGGTACCAAGACAGCATTCGGACCAAGCGATCCAGGCCCTCGGCTGTGAGTCAATCTGAGCCACCGTACCGTGGGTGGGAGACCTGAGGCCGGTCAGCATCGTCAAACACTACATAAGGCCCACTGAGCCTCTAGGGAGTCTACATTCAGTCCTGCTAAGCTGACTTTACACTAGCCGGACGGTCGCTTGACGCTGGCTGGACGATGGCTGGACGCTGGCTGGCTGTACGCTGGCACTGTGGTCGACGACGCAAGACTGCGGCGGCATGCTGGCACATTTCTGCGTCAGTGCCAGCCTCTGCTGACGTGGCGGCGCAAGGCCACGATGTTGATGCGGCGCATGCCACGCTGTCTTCATTGCTGATGTGGCATTTGCCACACTGTCTACATTGCTGAGTTGGACGCGACAAGGGAGGGAGATCGGGATATGTGGATGATTGGGAGAAAACGGGATACTTACCTGTGGTTGATGTCGATCATGTGCGCTGCTGAACGTCTTCACGGGAGAACTGTGCCACGTGCCACTTTTGATGTGATCTGACCTGTCAGGCTCGTCATTGACACTATTGTTGACATGAGGAGAGAGGCAAGTCCGGGAAAGTAGAGGGCATTGTTGGGCTGCTATCTCTGTGGTCATTGATGGATATCTCTTCCACCCTCTAATCTTATCTATTCCCCCTCTCCTCTCTTTGTCTATTGGTTACCAGAGAGATTGTATCACGGATCACATTCACGATTATTTCGAGACGCCATTCAGAAGTGAGATTTCTTGTATTTCGATATCTGATGAGTATTTTGCAGACTGGGTTCATTACAGATGGTTTGGTTTGGGAAGAAAACTTTGAGATTTGAAAGTAATGCACTGGAGTCCTAGGCTACCAGCCGGGCCACACAGGTCACCTCGTTTTCCAGGGCGGCCTGGCCGTGCAAGGACCAGCGGGCGTCCTAGCAGGAAAAAAAAAAAAAAAAAAAAACGAAAAAAAAAACGATGTTATGCAGAAAAATAAACTGAACAACTTTTGCCTCAGGGTCACATCGAAATTCTTTACCGATTTTTTTTTTTAATATACACTTATTATCAGGGCTGGGCCGGCAACCGGCCGGTCGAGCTTGCCCGGTCCAACCGGGGCCGGACCAGCCCAGGGGGGGTCAACCGGCAAACCGGGTGGTTCAAAAAAATGGCCAATTTATTTTTATAAAATTTTATTTTTATTTTTATTTTTTTTGTGGGATCGGACTGCGCTTGCTGAGATCTGTCCGATTCCGCAAAAAAACTTGGACTGTTGGAGATTTGTTTTTGGGGTGTGCCAGAAGAGGGGGGGGCGAGGTCGAGAGTGGTAAGGGGGGTGCTGCATTCAGGGTTTGCAGGCCCACAAGGCTATGGCTAG